GCAACCCCAATGTGGGAAGAGTATTCTGAGAGTGTTACTTGAGTGATTTCAGAGACGTGATTGGTTTCATTGCTGCAGAGTTGAGAAAATCTTTCCAAGGTGTATTGGTTGACAAGGTCCACTTTGGTGCAACCACAGACCCAGAAACATGCTGCAAAGCTTGGCCAGCTTTCCATCAACCTAATCTGCTTTCCCCCCTCTGAAAAGGCGGCTGATGTCCCCTGCTGGCCTAGATGTTCTGACTGGCTGTCATGTCCCTTGTGTGGGCATGCTGCCCACTGCACAGGCAGCAGCTGAGGAGGCCCAGTCCTGATACAGATTCCAAGGTTGGACCACACATCCTGTGGTTTTCCCTGTGGCCCGGGTCTGAGTCCAGTGGTCTAGTTAGGGAAACCCCCAAGAAACCTCACCTGGGGTGACCTCAGACTTAACTCCTCTGTGTGCCAGCCAGTGCAGGGCCATGTTCAGTCTATTTCCTGCATCAGCCAACACACATACTGGTGGATGCAGCTACCTAGTCAGTTCCACTCCAATGCATATCTCACATGAACCCATGGGTGCTATAGCCCAAACCAGCTGGCCTGCCATTGACCCAGTCCTTACACATACCAGTGGATGCTGTGGCCTAATTGGGGATGACCCCCATAACTCTCACCAGGCATGCCCCAGCCCTGGCTTTTGCACATTCCAGCCTCTACTGAGGCCTAGTCCAGCCAAGTTGCATCCCATCAAGTTCTCATGCACACCCATGGATCCTGTGGCTTAGCTCAGTCATCCCACCCCTAGACCCAGCCCTCATGTATGTGCTGCTGCCTTGTCCAGGCTGGCCTGCCCCTCAGTCCTGGTTCTCATGTTCACCAATGATAGGTACGGCCTAACAGGGGAGTACCCACAGTTCCTTTGCAAGGCATATCCCCAGCCCTGGATCCTGTGTCTGCCAGTGGGTATTGCAGTTCAACTTGGCATGACTCACACCTAGTCCTGGCACTTGCAAGGTGGTGTTGTAGCCTAGTGTGGCTAGCCCACACCTGTTCTGGTTCTTGTGCGTGCCAGTGAGTACAGCAGCATAGCCAAGCCTGGCCTGTCCCCAGACCGGCCCACCACCATGCCAGCTCCCATGCTCAGCAGTGGAAGCAGCAACCCAGCAAGGGAGACCCCAAAGTTCCCCTGCAAGGTCTACTCCCTGCTCCAGTTCTCACCAGAAGGTCTCACCTGCCAGCAGGTTCTGTGGCCCAGTATGAGATAGATGGTCCACCCCCCAGTCTTGGCATTTACCATCATGTGTTACAGCCTGGCTCATCCCAGTCTGCCCTAACCTCCAGTCTCAGTTGTCACTGATAGGTGCAGTAGCCTAGGCCACCCCCAGCTATCATGTAAACTGCTGTGTGTTGCATTCCAACTCGACCTGACCTGCATCCTATCCTGGCTCTCACTCATGTCGGTGTGTGCCAGGGTCAGACTGACCCTGACTGGCCTGCCCCCAGACCCACCCAACTCATATGTATGCCAATGGGTGCTATAGACCAGCCTGGTCTAGCTTACTCCCAGCCCCGGGTCTCCTGCTTACCAGTGCAAGCTGTTCCTAACAGGGGAGTTCCCCAAGTTCCCCATCAGGTTTGCCCCCAGTAACAGATCTCCTGTGTACCAGTAAGTGCTGTAGCCCAGTCTGAGGTGGCCAACCCCCAATCCTGGCTCTTACTTGCAGCTATTGCAGCCTAGCCCAACTAGCCTACACCGTCACAGCTCTCACAGATGGCTGCTACAGCTTAGCCCAGCCTGTCCCACTCCCATGTTGGCTCTTGCAATCACCAGTGGATGCTGGAGCCTAGACCAGTCTGACCTGTCCTCAGACCCAGCCCGCATGCATGCCAATGGGTGCTGCAGCCTTGCCCAGCCTGATCCACCCAAAGCCCTGGCTCTTGCATTCACCAGTGGGAGCTGCAGCCTAGCAGGCAAGTCCCCAGAATTGCTCTTTTAGGACCAGTAATAACCCCGGTTCTTGCACATGTTGGTGGGTCGTTTGACCCAGCCTGGCATGACCCACCCACAGTCTCAGCTCTGGGTAGCTGCAACCTAGGCCAGCCAGGCATGGCCCACACCCTTTTCAGTCTCTCATGCATGCCAGTAGGTGCTGAAGCCTTGCCCAGCCTGGTCTGTCACCAGACCCAGCCCATACAAACCTGAGTCTTGCAGACTTTCCTGGCCTGACTCACCCCCAGCCACAGCTCTTATACGCCACAGTAGGAGCCGTGGTCTAGCAGGGTGTTCCCCAGGTTCCCCTGCCAGGGCTGTTCCAAACCTGGGTCTCACATATTCCAGTGTGGACAGTGGCCCTACTTGGCATGATCTGCCCTCAATCCCGGCACTTGCATGTGGTAGTGGGTGCGGCAGCCTGGCCCTTCCTGGCCTTTTCCCAGCCCCAAGCTCAGCTCCAGCCCCCAGAAGTGTCAGGTGAGTTCTGTGTGGCTCAACCTGTCAGTACCCCTAGCTCTCAGCATATAAACCTGAGGGTGTGCAGTTCCACAGCGGCAAGCCCACACTTCTCCCGCAGAATCTGCCCCCAAGATCTGGTTCTCTTCAATTCTTGTGGATGCTGTGGCCCAGCCTAACATGGCCACCCCCTGCTCCAACATATGTGGGTGGATACTCTGGCCTAGGCCAGTCAGGATGCCCCCCAGTTCCAGCTTTGGCGTGTGCCATCAGGCAGCGGGCGATGCTGCTAGTCCAGCTCAGGTCTCCCACATGGACAGGTGCCTTGGCCTGATCCTGACATGCCCTCCAGTTTCCCTCCTCTAAACCACTCCATCTCAGCCCACTCATCTACCCGTGAGGGCAGTGGCTCAGTCTGTGGAAGACCCCAGAAGTCATTCCCTCCCTGTTTAACAAGTCCTTAGCCTCTCCCACTCCGGTCCATCCCCAAACTCCTCCTCAGGCAGTCTGTAGTCCCTCCACCTGGGGGCAGGGTGGCACGTCCCAGCCCGGTATTCCCTCTGCTGTATATATCCGGCAACTGTGCTGGCACACTGGTATGGTTAACACAAACTTGGCATTCACCAGGCCCAGGATGCTGCCAGCTGTTAACTACTTTTCTCTCAGCAGTGGAACACTGGCTGCTAGTTCTTTTTATAGAAGATAGAGTTTGACTTTTTTTTCAGCAGCGTGGGCTTAGCTGTTTTCCCAAGGCTAGATAGCTGTCTGGACTGGATTGAGGATACTCCAGTGGAACAGCCTCAGGGGTCTGATGGGAAGTGCTGAGGGCTTCTGCCTTACCCTTGTTAAGCTGACAGAAGTCCCTCTTGGTTCAGGGTTTATCTCAAGGAGAAAGAACAGTGGATGCTTTGTGCTTAGTTTTCTTCTTCGTCTTCTGGCTTTTGATGATTCACTCCCCAAGTGGCCGCATTGGCCAGAGCTGAGCTAATCTGAAGACAGGAGCCAGGAGCCTCTTTCAGGTCTCTCATGCAGGTGCAGGATTCCAAGGCTTTGGACCATCCTCTACGGCTTTCCAAAGCCACAAACAGGGAGCTGGAAGGGAAGTGGAGCAGCCATGATACAAACCAGCACCCATATGGGATCTGGTGGATGCAAGGCAAGAATTTAGCCACTGGGCCATCGCATCTATTGTGATTTTAAATAACAATCTCTGATGATAACTAATGAATTTGAGCCTTGTTTTGTTTTTTGACTGTTTAGCTCCTTTTGAAAAAATATTAAATTTTTTTACTTTTATTGGAAAATCAGATATCCAGAGAGGAGGAGAGACAGAGAGAAAGATCTTCAGTCTGCTGATTCATTCCCCCAGTGGCCACAACAACCGGAACTGAACTGATCCAAGCCAGGAGTCAGGAGCTTCCTCTGGGTCTCCCACACAGGTGCCTCGACTGCTGTCCCAGGCCACAGGCAGGGAGCTGGTGGGAAGTGGGGCCGTCGGGATTAGAACCAGCGCCCATATGGGATCCCGGCGTGTACAAGGCGAGGCCTTTAGCTGCCAGGCCACCTTGCAGGGCCCCGTTTAGCTCCCTTTTAAGCAGTATCTGTTAAGGTCATTTAGCCTTTCTACTCTTCTTTAGTCTGACTCTTTCTGGCTTGTGCGATTTCTTCATGTATTTTGTGTATGAATGGGGTATGTATTGTGAATATATTTTTTATTCTAGACTACCACCCATTAGCAAAATAGTGTGAACCCTTTTGGATTATACGTTTAATTGTGTTTCTAACATTATTTTTTTTTTATGGTTAAAGGCATTTTCTTAAAGTGATAGACGGGCGCCGCACTTAGAGCAAAACGCACGATACTGCAACAACCTGCAACTGCTCCTCTGGCCGTCCACTCACAGAGATCACCCGCCCCTGTCCCTAATGCATATTCTAATGATTACTGCAATCCCTGACTGCCCTCCCCAGCATTCCGCCACACCAGTAACCACCAGCCCATCACGCCACTCAAACCACCCATAAAGCAAACACCCACCCCTACACAAAACTGGTAACCCCAGAAAACCGATTTTTTAACCTACCTACTACAGCGATCCCCCAATTGAATCCTATTGGACTTAACGATCGAAGCTGATTACGATCCAAAGATTTGTAGCTACCGTTCTAGGATTTACTACGGCATTCATAATCCTTGAGAGCTAAAGCCAGCCACAATTTCAGCCGGTAACACATGTGGCGAAAGACCCTCCGAATCCCAAGGTCCTAAACGCTCACCCCGGTATAAGCATCCACAAGTGTCTTTATAGGAATGTAGGAGCACTATGAGCCCAGCGTGCGCATGGAGATCTAGGCCCATCTGAGTCGATTACAAATACAGTTAGCGTCTGAAATGTGGCATAGCCCCTGTGGGGCAAGCCCTCCCGGTAGGTTTCTCCTGTGCTCATTTTTGCAGGTCCCAAGGTTTCTGCAATCTTCTGTTCAATACCAGTCTTGCCAGCTTCTTCCTAAGTGTGCGCCGGAGTTGCCTGCCTGTGAGAGTCCATCCTGTAAAGGACGAAGCTGTCAAGATGATGCGTGGGACAGAAGACGTGGCTGCCTCGAGGGGTCCTCGTGTCGCCCCTCTGTGTGACCAAGAGGAGCACCCAGGAACTCCGGACATTTCTCATCAGACGCTTAGGCATTTTCAGCACTTGTCCGTGACTGGGCCTCACCAAGCTGTCGACCAAATCCAGGAGCTCTGCCGGCAGTGGCTGCAGCCGGAGACCCGTACCAAGGAGCAAATCATAGACCAGTTGGTGTTGCACCAGTTCCTGAGCACCTTGCCAAAAGCGGTTCAGGCGTGGTTGAGATGGAAGCGGCCCAAGAACAGCAAGGAGGCAGGAACCCTGGTGGAGAATTTCGTCCAGGCCCACAGGGAGGAAGGTGAGGAAGGACAAGACGACGGAGACAGTGCTTGGTGGGTGAGGCTCTGTGCCTGGCGCCTGGGAGGAGCTGGTGCGTTAAGTGTGTGAAAGAGTAAATTTAAATATCCAGTATAACATGTCCAATCTCGTGAGATACAAGAAACTTGAGGTTTGAACTTTGCCTTTTAATATTTATTACTTCCCTAGGGTCCTCCTTCTCCAACATAAACTTTGATATCAGCAGAAAATGAAACAATACACAGAATTGCAGCTCTCCCCAGAATACGGAGGACATTAAGTGCAAAGTTGGGGAAAGCTGATCCTTGGCTTAGTTTTTCCATTTAAGAGCAAAAAAAAAAAATATTTGTTGACTGGCCACATCATTTTTACAGGATGACCTAAAGTGTAGGAGATACAAAGCTTGGAAATTCAGCATTTTCCAAAATGGGCTGACTTCTTAGAAACTTAAATTACTAGATTGGGAGGCATTTTAAGAATGATACAAGAAAGCCATTGAAGCCTCATAGTCCTTCAACTAATACTACTAAATAAAAACCAACTCACATATACAGAACGAGAGAATAGTGAATACAAACATCACAGTTAGCTGTGGGGGAAGGGCTGGAACGCAGGCAAAAGGCACGTGAGTACACGTGGACTATTGGCAAAGTTGTAGCTTTTAAGTTGGCGACTCCATAGGCCTTAATTATACCTACTATAATACACATTCTTATATAATATATAAAATATAGAATGAACTTAAAATGAAGACTATTAATGTTTCAAGGATGTCATGAATTAAAGATTATGATTAGTCCACTAATGTCTCATAAAATAATTTTTAAAACACTAATAGTGAAAATATTTAACACTTAAAATGTCTTGTAAGGCCCTTGGAATAGGTATTCTATAGACCAGGAGACAAATACACCAATAGGTCAATTAACTTGCTCATGATTCTACAGTTACTCAGTGAGAGTCAGGGTTAAGATGTAGGCTGCTGGCTTCTGCATCTTTCTATTACTATGGTGTTAGACCCCTCAGGCAGACATCAGGATGTCTTAAAAAGGTCCGACACTTAACCAATGGCATTGAATTATAGTGATGCTGGAGTTCAGGGGAAGAGAAACAGAGTTCCCTAGGATATGAAGAAGAAGCAACAGGATGATGAGATGTCTTTACAAAGAGGCCATAGGCAGCGAAGACCCTCAGGGTTCAGGCTTTTGAAGGAATTGTGATCTTTCATGTCGCAGTGAGTAAAAACATTGTAGGCAGGGCTCAGTAATAAAAAGTTGCCATTAAAAATACCTATTGTGTGCCATGTATGGGAAATATTTCATGCTCATAAGAGCCCTTAGCAGTAGAGGTAATATCATTAACTGGGGGGAGATGGGCGGGTAGCGGGACAGAGTTCATGTTACTCGGAAAGCAAGGGAAGCCTTCAAGTGTTTCCTAGTGGTGACTGATCAGAACACCTTGTTTTTGCTGTGCTGTATTGAATTAAACTGTTTCTGTGGCCTTACCGTATGAGCTTCAGTACTGCTTCCGCCCCCCATGGCAAGATGGGGTCGCACGGGGTGGCAGGTCTCACCTGCAGGTTTGTCCCTCTCCCCTCCAGGTGTCCTTGCTGCCAACTCTGTCCCTGCAGAAAAGAACGCAGCAGTGTTAGAAAGCGTACCAGTTACCGAGGCCCACGTGAGTCGAGTTTTCTCTGAGTTGATTCACAAAGATGAGACTCTTACCTGACTGAGTTCTGGAGTTCTGGACTTTCTGTGTTGAAGTAAATTAAGTCCTCATTTCTTTTAAGTCTGTGTAAAATATCACTTAACTGAACCTTTCCTCTGGATGCGCGAGGTGTGACTGCCTTCTGCTGTGTCTGCTTTATTTTTCTCTGTTGCACTATCCCTGTTCCACATATTACACCTTCAATATTTTCCTTCTTTTTCTATCTTAACTTACTCGGCTTTTAGTATTGTTTATTCCAAACAGCCCTCGTGTGCTTTATGATGTCATGGCTGAGGAAGGGAGCAGGAGAGCTGCGTGCAGGGCGGAAGGTCCACACGCCTGCCGTGTTGGGCTGGGATAGGAACCCTGACGTTCCAGCTGGCGTCAGTCTGTTCCTGACCAGATTCAGCAAACAAATACTGAAAAACAGCCGTTTAAATTTTAAACTCAAGTTAGCAACAAATAAACTTTTAGCATAAGTCTGTCTGGGACATAATCATGCTAAAATTGTTTGTTGTTTGCAATTCATATTTAATTGAGCAAAGTGGATTTTATTGACCACCCTATTTCATCTAAATTTCTACACTGTGAGATTTGAGAAAATGGAGTTCATTGAAAAAGCATGATCAGACTAGATTAGCCCAGAATATTCTTTATAAATGAAAGATAATATGTCCTACTATTCAACTAGTTCCTCTAAAATTGTGGATAATATTTTAATAAAAACAGACATAAAATATGTTTCTCATTATACTCTTACAAGATTTACAACGAGGCTGTGTCAGTGACTCACTGCCTCTGTGTGTTGCTTGTGGATGAGAGTGAAAATAGCTAGTACTGTGTATAAGGAGTGCTTAGTACTGTGTATAAAGAGTGCTTAGTACTGTGTATAAGGAGTGCTTAGTACTGTGCATAAGGAGTGCTTAGTACTGTGTATAAGGAGTGCTGAGCAGTAATACGGCCATTTTTTTCCTTGAAAGTCTTGATCTGGGACATTCTCATTAGGACATTGGAAATGCCTCCGAAAGGAAAAAAAAAAAATTATTCTATGGATGAAACATCTCATTCTTTTTACCGATACAGCGCCATTTTGTATGTAATTTCATGAGATTCCATTTCTATGGAATATCCATACTGAGCAGATCCCTGAGAGACAGACAGTAGATTACTGATTGCTGAGCCCTTGGGGGATATTGGAAGGAGATGGATGTGAGCGCTGAAGCGTGTGCAGGGCTCCTTTTTGGGGTAATTACAATATTCTCAAACTGGCCTGATGGTTAACACAACCCGGTATAAATACTAAAAATCCTTGACCAGTATACTTCACATAGGTAAATGTTGTGGTATGTATGTGGGCAGCTTTCTGCCTGACAGATCAGGCCCCTTCTCACACCCTGGCAAGAACTCCTTGACTTTTAAGAGTATTTGTGGTGTTGTAGGAGTTGGTGACCTTCGAGGATGTGTTTGTGGACTTCAGTCCTGAGGAGATGAGCTGCCTTACTGCAAGTCAAAGGAAACTCTACCGAGAGGTGACACTGGAAAACTACCAGAACCTGGTCTTCGTTGGTAAGTGTGCGTTCTCCATGGAGCTCGGTTTCTGCTTACGATGCCGAAAGATGTCTTTCCACTAGAGTGATGGCTAGCTGTGCCAGGGAGTCTCAACTCAGACCAGAGGGCAGATTTTAATAGAAAGCTCACTGTTGGTCATGCAGTAGCTGTTAATATATGCCAGTACTGGCCTAAGTGCTTTACTTGTTTTCGCCCCTTCAGTTCTCAGACTAGTGCTGTGAGGGGGAGACATACTTCTTTTTCTTGTTGCTACGATGTTGGCATTCTACAGAGGAAGAAGCTGAGTGTGGCGACGCTAAATGAGGTGTGGGATCTGGGCCCTGACCTTGAGCGTGCTGACTGCAGAGTCTTCTCTGGTGACAGTGGCTTGCTTCATCGGGTCTCAGTGTACCTGGAGGATTGAAATGATAGATTCTTTTGAATGAGCAATAAAATTTTGAAAAGTCAAGGATCTCCAGAGACTCCTGCTGGCCTCAGTCTTAAGAGTCTGTGATAGTTCCAGGCTCTGTACTGGCAAGTACACACAAGAATCTGGTCTGGGATCACCTCAGACAAAGTTTCTTTGGGGATCTCCCCAGTCGAACTGCCGGACTCAGAGCCCTAACCATGAAGAGAAGTGCAGGTTCCCAGGCTGGACCGCAACACCCATTGGTTCCAGTGGAAGTCGGGAGTGAAAACAGAACCAACCCAGCAATTACAACCACCAGCTGATTGGAGCGATGGACGGTGCCTGGCCCTGTACTTGTTAGCACATACAAGAAGTTTCTTTGGAGATCTTCCTAATCTAAATGCTGGACTCAGAACCCTAACGAAGAAAAGAGAGAAGACAGAACAGGTCAACCAACCATCTCAGCTATGATGGACTATGTCAATCAGTGGATTTTTCAAAGACCTCATAGTGCTTGGAGTGGCAAGATTGACAGCGATTCATAACTGTTGCAATATCAAAGCCACTCGAGCAAGAACCTCAGAGCATGCCCTACACCCGGGACTTGGGGAGGGTGGGAAATTGGGTGGGCCTTCTCCCTTAATACCCCCCTTTTAAACATGAAGGTAACAATATGGAAAACATACTAGTATTATCCACTTTCCTGTAGCCCTTGAACCTTCTTACTCTAACTAAGTATGTAAAGAATGTCAAAATAAATTTTATTAAAAAAAAAAAAAAAAGAAGAAGAAGTGCAGGTTCCATGGTCTGCCATGGAGTACAAGTGTCAGAGCCAAGCCTCCTTAGAGGCTCAGACGGAGCAGTGGACAGCACAGCCAGGTGCACATGGAGGACATGGCAGTCCATAGGAACCTGCAGAGGACACCTGGCACCACAACAGAGGACAGAACAAATCAAACAACTACCCCAGCCATATGTTGGCGGTGAAAACTGGGCAAGCAGAGACTCTAAGGTAGACTATGTCAATCAGTGGATTCTGCAGCGACTTCATCGTGCTTGGAATGGTGAGACTGGCAGCAATTCATAACTGTTGAATTATCAAATTCACTTGAGCAGGATCCTCGGAGCATGCCCCACATCGGGGACCTGGGATGGGTGGGAGGCTGGGAGGGACTTCTCCCTTTATCTCCTCCTTTACCCCAGATACAGAAAAAAAAGTAGAGATAATAGTCTTACCCACTTTCCTGTAGCCCTTGAACATTTGTGCCCTAATTAACTATGTAAAGATTGTCAAAAATAAAGGAAAAAAGAAGAAAGAAAAAATCTGGGCAAAAAACAGAGTCTGAACTAGTCACTCCACGTCTGGCAGTGCCACTGTCTGCCTCTCCTCACGAGTGGGAGGACTCTGGTTTGAGTGCTGTAATACTCGTCCTGTGGCTCTCAGGGAGGCGTACAGATCTGAACCATGAAAACACCATTCAGCCAGCGTGACCTGATGCTCTTATCCCCTTGTAAGAAACCTAGTCAGGAGGCAGATGCACTCAGACCACCTGCCACAGAGATGTGTAGTTGTAACCATAATGTGTTGGCCACAGGGAGCTGCCTTTTCCGATGTATTTTATGCACTCCCCTGGTAAATGTCTTTTTCAACTTATTTTATGCTCTTTCCTAGGTGACTAGATTCTGTGGCTTAGAGAACAAAGTGTCAGAATAGTGAGCACACACCCATTTCATTTTTCAGCTTTAGGCAGTGACCTGGAGGCATTTCTGCCTTCTTGTGAGCCCTTGGTTTCTTGGAGCACTGAAGGTCTTGGGTTTGTTTAAGAGGTCTTACGTGTCACCCGGGATATTGGTTTTTTTTTTTTTTGAGTGTTGAATGAGTGCACTAGGTTAAATAGAAGATGACTTTAGATAGTACATGGACAACACGCAATAGTGTAATTAGCAGTTACGGTGCGACCCCCGTCATTTTCTTTCAGACTGATTATATCAGACAGAAGGCATCACTTCGGTATTACCATGTCTCTGTAGCTTGTTGATCTTCTGTTTAAGCAAAAAAAGACCCAAAGCCTTGAGCAAGCTGATCAGACTTTGCTGCAGCATCAGCTGGCAAGTGCAGGCATGGGGACAAGTCCTGTTGAACTAGACTGCAGAACCACCTGGAGAGTGCAAGATCGGGACTGGGAGTGGGCCCAGAAGGGAAACTATGGGCGCCCCTCTCATGGGTTGTAACTCCCACTAGTGACTGTGAGAACCAGGGCTGGAGGAGGACCTGGCTGGACAGGCCACAGCATCCATCAGCATAAGTGAGGGCTGGATATTGGGGTCGGTTGGGCTGAGCTGGGCTGCAGCACCCGTTGGTGTGTACAAAAGCTGGATGGGATGTGAGACAGGTTGGACCAGTCTGCTTCATTTATTGGCATGCACAGGAGCCAGGGTTGAGGGCAGGCCTGGTGGAGTTATTGTGGGTCACTCCAACTGGCCTACAGTTCCCATTAGTGTACATGAGGGCCGAGTGTGTGGTAAGCAGGGTTGGGCCAGGCTAGGCTGGGCTGGGCTGCAGCATCCATTGGCTGATATAAGAGTTGGGGCTGGAGACAAAACTGACCTAGCAACTGCAGACATCCTTGTGTGTGTAGGCTGATGTGACAGACTGAGTGCACCCTGTACTGGCTAACACACACAAGACTCAGGTCCGAGATCACCTCAGATGAGGTTTCTCTGGGGACTTCCGCAACTGAACAGCTGGACTCAGAATTCCAACCACGGGGAGAATCACAGGATCTGCGGTCTAACTGTGGAGTGCCTGTGTCAGAACTGGGCCTCCTCGGTGGCTAAGACAGAGCAGTGGATTTGATGCCCAAATACACATGAAGGATTTGACAGTCCATTGGAGCCTGCGGAGGACATCTGGTACCATAGCGGAGGATGAAGGGCAGAACAAATTGGACAACTCCCCGAGCCAAGCATGACCAGCAAATATTCTGGGTGAACGGAGACTCTAAGGTGGACTCTGTCTGCCAGTGGACCTTGGAAGGATTTCCTCATCCTTGGATCAGCGAGATCGATAGCATTTCAGAACTATTGAAACCATGCAGAGCACGCTCCACATTGGGGACCCTAAATGACATCAGGTGGCCGTCCCTCGATCCCGAGCACTGATGCAGTTCCAGTGTGGGGTGCAGTTCCTCCCCTTCTCCCCTCCCTCCCCCCAGATACAGGAAGAAGGTAAAGAAACTTGGAAGCAACGATCTCATCCTTTTGCTCCTAATCCTCGACCCCTCCCACCCTAATCAGTGATCCACATGGGCACGAATCCTCAACTATGTACACGTCATCAAAACTCAAAATTTAAACATTTTAAATAAACTAATTAGTCTGCGAAAAAAAGGCAACAGAAGGCAACTAGCACTCAACAACCTTAGCTTCAGTCTTATTTATTGTCATTTTTGCCAGTAACTTTAATTTCCATTTATAGAATTGATCTGATGCTTGCACTTAAAATAAGTATGTTTGAGTTAAAAGTGAGAAGTGATCTAAAGGAAGATAAATGCTGCTGTGAATGGTATTTGTAGAGGTCATTCGTTCATTTGTCAGCTGACTCACAGTGACAGGTCGGGCACAGGTGTTAGAACAACACAGTAAATGAAGATCTTGGATTTCATGGATGGTTCACTCCAGCGAGGAGAGTCAGAAAACAGACAAGAAATGGAGTGTGTTTCAGATGATCACAGTTTGGGAAACGGAGCTAGGGGAGCAGGAAGAGCTGCCTTGTCAGACAAAGGAGGGGTGGAGGTTATTGTGAGAGAAATGTCCGCTTTTGCTCCATCAGATTTCCCTTCCCTGAAGGAAAGAGCTCAGCACTTGACTGCCATCTCGCTGTTTTCAGTTTTCATTCAATAGCAGGTTTGGGGTTTGTTTGTTTGTGTTTGTTTTGTTTTATCTCAGTACTATTGGCTTTGGGGGCCAGAGAGGCTGTGCGTTAAATAGCATCCTTGCTTCCAACCTCCAGAGGCCAGGAGCAGCTTTCTTTTCTCCCAGGGAGGTAACAACCAAAGATACTTCCATACATTGTAAGATGCCCCTTGAGGGCATTGCTTACTAAATTTAAAAATAGGCTTCATTTTACTCCCAGAAGAATTTTCTCCTTTCTTATTATCCCAATTTTTAGAACCCAGTTGGAACTTACTATTTCCCCAAGTTCATGTCTGCTTTCTTCAACAGGGTGCCAATTCGTTAAGCCTGAGGTTATCTCATACCTGGAGGAGGAGGAGTCGCACACAACTCAAGAAGGTGTAGAGGAGTCATGCACAGTGAAGGAAGACAGCAAGTCGGGGATATGTCAGGGTGAGTAGTGAGGGAAGCCCCTGGAGGGGGAATCCTGGGAAGGCACTATTGCTGCCCAGTGAGATGGAAGGAGGAATGAGAAGCAGAGTCAGGGAGTTACCAGGGAGAAGGCTTCTGTGTGCTCTCATTCAGGGGCTTGTCTCCTCAACACTGTCTCTTCTCTTCCCCTTCTTCTGCTTCATTTCCCTGCCTCTCCTTCCTGTTCTTCCCCTGCTGGCTCTTGCCACCTGGTTCCTGTTCTCCCACTTCTGCCAACACAATATTTACACACACTTTGTATAAAGACTTTGACCTGAATGTTCTATGCCTACATCATAAGCTTAAACAGGAACCTTCTAGGCTTTTCCTTCTCCACACATTGTGGCTGCAATCTAATAGTGCTTACCCTCATCAGGAAATCTCACTTAACAAGTATTTATTTAGGTATGTATCTGTCAGGGACAGAGAAACCACTGATTCACCCACTAATGCCAACAGTGGCTGGGTCTGTTGGAAGCCAGCAGGAAGCCAGGAACTCAATCCAGGTCCCTCCTGTGGGTGTGGAAAGGACCCAGCTACTGGAGCCATCACCTGGCGCCTCACAGGGTGGACGTTAGCAGAAAGCTGACACGAGGAGCCAGAGCTGAGCAGTGAACCCCCACACTGATATGGGTTGTGGGCATCACAACTGGCACTTTAACTTCTAGCCAAAGGCTTTCCCCATGAACTCTCTCCTTGGAATTCTTTCACACTATGTATCAAGCTAGCAGTAATATTCATTTTCAATTTCAGTTAATAGAAACCAACTGTCTTAAGCCAAAGGGGGGTTGTTAGTTTCCAGTATAGGTCAGCTTATGAGCAGTGGATGACCAAGGATGTTCGGATCAAGAAGTTTAGAGATGTCAACAAAGACCTAACTTGATTTTCTTTCCACTCTGCCTTCAACTCTGGGAGTAAATTCTTACTGTCCTCTTTGTTTCTGAAGAAAACTATGTCCGAAAAAACATTCTCAAGAGCAGGAATGCCTTCCTTGGAGACACTCCCAGCACGTTTCCTGATGTCGCATTGTTCAGAGTTACAGCCCTTTCCTGAGCCCACAGCTGTATCCAATATAATACCAATTCAAACAGCCTCCTCCTCCATCTCCTGAGAAATGAATGCACTAATAAAAAACAGGGAGTTACCCAGGATATCCCTCTACCTGCCTCTTTATTACTTCATTGTCTTTCCAAGCTGTAATTTTTTTTTAGCATACTGAAATTCATTAATTTATCTCATAAATATTTATTGGGTTACAGTGGGTCAGGCACCTGTCCTGGATTCTATGGTTACAATAATTAATAAGGCATATAAATCCTTTCCTTCATAGAGCTTGCACTTTAATGTAGGTTATGGTTTGAAAACAAATGAAAAAATAATTGTATCTGACCACAATACAGATAGACAATGACATATGTAAGTTTATTTAATATGGGATAGTTAGGGAAAATCTGGGGAAGAATTTAATGAGATGATGAGTTGGCTGATTATTACATTCAGTAGGAACAACAAATTTCAAGTTTCCAAGGCTGGATTTTTCTGGACACAAGAGGTCTGAGTGACGTGGAGGGGGATAGAAAATGAGGAAGCAGACAAGGACCAGCCCATTAGGGTATAGTAAGGATTGTGGATTTTATTAGAGTGATATTCAAAAGGAGTGGAAGGTTTTGAGCAAGAGAGTGAGGTGGTAGCACCGACACGTTAGAATTATGTAGTAGCCACTAGAAATATGTGGCCAGGCCCAGCGTGGTGGCCTAGCAAATAAAGTCCTCACCTGGAACGCGCCCGGGTCCCATATGGGCATGGGTTCTAATCCCGGCAGCTCTACTTCCCATCCAGCTCCCTGCTTGTGGCCTGGGAAAGCAGTCGAGGACGGCCCGAAGCCTTGGGACCCTGCACCCATGTGGGAGACCTGGAAGAAGCTCCTGGCTCCTGCCTTCGGATTGGCTCAGTTCTGGCTGTTGCGCTCACTTGGGGAGTGAACCATTGGACGGAAGATCTTCCTCTCTGTCTCCCCTCCTCTCTGTATATCTGACTTTCCAAACAAAATAAATAAATTTTTAAAAGTAAAAAAGAATGACAATCAGAGAAGCAGCTTCACAAGGTTATTGAACTCTGTGAGGCTAAAGATGGCGGAGACATGCTGTAATTGTAGACGGTTTCCGGTTTCAGGAATTCTGCGGAAGTGGAAGTAGCAAAACATGTTGAAATATTGGACATGAGTTGGGGTTAGGAAAACCAAGAAATCAGTTGGAACTGGGTCATCTCTTGACCTTTCCTCCTTGAGTCTTCTCTTCACTGACTGTTTCCTCGTGGATCCAGCAGTCCTCGTCTTGGTGAGCTAAGCTACTCGCGGGCTCTGCAGCTCCATCTGTTCCCTGCTCACATACTTCAGCTGTCTGACTTGACCATTGTGTTCATCACTGTCCACTGCAAACCACAATCTAAAAAAAAAGATTTCTCTATTATTGTTTGAAAGGCAGATGCACGGAGAAGAGAGACAGAGAAAGAAGGCGTTCCATCTGCCGGTTCACTCCCCAAATGGCTGCAATGACCAGAGCTGTGATGGTCCAAAGCTGGGAGCCAGGAGATTCCAGAAGCTTCTTCCAGATGTCCAGTGTGGGTGCAGGGTCCCGAGGACTTTGGACGTCCTTTGATGCTTTCCCAGGCCTTAAGTAGAGAGCTGGAGTGGAAGTAGAGTAGCTGGAACCTGAGCCAGCACCCATATGTGATGTCAGCTCACAGGGAGGAGGAGTAGCCTATTGAGCCACCACACTAGCTCCCAGATCTTAGACTTGCCTTCTTTGTGTAAAGTTTCTTTTTTAAAAAAATTTTTTTATTTATTTTATGGTATAGTCCCACAGGCTCAGGGGTTTCCCTTTGCATCCTTGTTCTCCTACCCCTCCTTACTGTTTTCCCCTGTACTATTATAATAGTTTAGTCCTTCAAAAAACAGTCTTCTGTCCATCATTATGCTATGTAAATGCATCACAAAATTGTAAGTATAGACAATGACAGAAAGTCCAGCATCCTGTCGTCAAGACATATTTAAAAGTTTCATTTGGAACCCATCTTGATTCAGGAGTAGAGTGGCATATTGCAATATATCTTCACTGTTCAATGTGATGGTCTGTGGTAGTCATGCCTATCCATGTACCTATTGCTCTTATATTTTGCATGAAGATTGCCTGATATCAGAAAGGACATACGTTATTTTCCTTTTGGGATTGGTTTATTTCACTGAACATATGGTCTCTAGTTGGGACTGTTTTGTTGCAAGTGGTAGAATGTCATTTTTTTAAGATTTGTTTATTTTTATCGCAAAGAAAGATACACATAGAGGAGGAGAAACAAAGAGGAAGATCTTCCATCCGTTGATTCACTCCCCAAGCAGCCACAAAGTCCGAAGCCCAGAGCCTCTTCCGGGTCTCCCACATGGGTGCAGGGTCCCAAGGCTTTGGGCCGTCCTCGACTGCTTTCCCAGGCCACAAGCAGGGAGCCGGATGGGAAGTGGGGCCACCAGGAATAGAACCAGCATCCATCTGGGATCCTGACATGTGCAAGATGTGGAAGAAGCTAGGCTACTGTGCCAGGGCCAAATTCATTTTTTTTAATGGCGGAGTAGCAATCCATAGAGTAGATATATCAGTTTCTTCACGCACTCTTCCTTCAATGAGTCTCTTGCTTGTTTCCATATCTTCACTATTGTAGATTGAACACTGGCTATGTAGGATTATAGGTCACTTTCTCATATGCAGATTTCATTTGCTTTGGATATATTCCCGGAAGTGTGGTAGCTAGGTCATATGGCAGGTCAATTTTCAGTTCTCTTGACACTTTCCATGTTGACTTCCATAGTGGTTGCTTTAGCCTACACTCCCAGCAACAGTGAAGTACAGATCCTTTCGCCTCACATCCACACCAGCAGGTGCTGGTAGAATTGCAAATATAGAACTCTGAAAGAAAAATTTTTTTTTTCCTAGTTAGGAAGTTTGATTTTCAAAGCAGCAATTTTTGACCAGTCTTACCACTTTCAGGAGAAAATCAAAGTGTCACAGAAATTGAACTTCTTGAACTTTGCGTTTCAGCCTCGTTTGCCCCAGATCTTCCAACTAAAATTCTGTGTTTCTGGATCGCCTGTTTAATTTCCAGAATTCTTAGCTGGAGCTGTTTTACACAGTTTTACACAATGCTTTGGCTTGCTGAGCCCAGATACCTTTGCCTCCACTGATATTTTCCTGAACAGAGTCAACTCCTCTGGCTCTGCGGCCCTAGCCATCTTATAGAGTCCTGTTCACAAATGTCTGCCGGCTCTGCTGGGTAGCAGCATAAGTCTTTAGTAAATGTTGAACGGAAGGGATTAAGCCATTGACACTGTAGTTTAGGTAAATCAGGAGATTAGGAGCCAAGAAAAAAGAATAATTTTCCTTTAAAAAACAGGCTTGAATGACTTTGACAAATGCATTCTATATTTTCCCTGAGATTCAGAGTATCGATTAAAGATTGCTACAGGAAACGTGCATGATTTATATCAGACTGTGTCCCAGATTTACACTGGAGCTCCTCCATGGTCGAAGCTGCTAGTTTTTCAGAGTGTTAGTGATCTGCTGGGAGTAGTTTGGAAAACACTGACAAAGCCCAATCTAAGGTTGCTCTCTGGTTTTGTCTTCATGTGATGTGTGTTGCCACTGTCAACGTGACCTCCTCCCGGACAGTCAGCCTCTCCTCTGTCTCTGCTCCGCCTCGTCCTTGCTTACTGTTCTTGCCATAGTTTTCCCAGTTTCTCTTCAGATTCCTTCCCCACAAATTCTCAAACCTCCAGAACATCTGTTATTTTTGGTTTCTTTCTTCTGTCTAGTACAATGATGTGCTTCTGTGAGCAAAAAGAATAGAGGAAATTTACATTTCTTTTAGATCATGAGACGCGACATGAAACCAAAGAAGTAATCCCAGAACAAAACCTACCCATAGAATGGTCATTCGTGGCAGAAATGGAGACTCCAGCCATAGATAACTTCTTGCATGAATATCTACAAGAGCCTTCCATTGGTGACCCATCAGAATTGCACCAGCACCGCCAGGAGAAACTCCTAAGTTCTGTAGCAATGAGCGATTCTAGGATCCCTCCAGAGATAACCCAAGGCAGTGATAACTTTGAGACAAACTGTAACCATACTGAACAATCAGAGAATTTTCTAGAGAAGAATCCCAAGGAAAGCACCAGGGCGCAGGCAGCAGAGAAGCCCACGTGTAAACTTTGCAAGAGAACCTTTAGCACCCGCGTAGCCTTTTTGAGACACGAACAGATCCATACTGGGAAGAAACCCTACAGATGTCAACAGTGTGGCGAAGCCTTCTATCTCATGCCGCACCTCGTCAGACACCAGAGGACTCACTTCGTTAGGAAGCCCCCTCGCTGCAATGACAAAGCAAAGCCTCTCGCCGAGCCCGGGGGTGTCTGTGCGCAGGTGAGAATTCATAGTCGGGAAGACTACTACGAATGTTTGCGGTGTGGCAAAGCTTTTATCCAGAACGTGCATCTTTTGCAACATCTCCAAGGACACAGAACAGCAGAAACCGTTCCTCCCAAGGTGCCCCGCGACAAGACATATTTAATTCGCTACCAACGGAAGCACGGGTATGTTGGAGAGAAGGCCTGGCAGTGTTGTGACTGTGGCAAAACCTTCAGTCAGAGTTCACATCTCATTCAGCATTATCGAGTCCATGCTCACGAGAGGCCTTACCAGTGTCAGCTGTGTGGGAAATGTTACAGTCGGCCCTCGTACCTCACTCAGCATTACCAATTCCATTTCCAAGAGAAAGCCCTTGAGTGCAATGGCTGTTGAACCCTTCAGTCAGAGAACACATGTTTCCTAGTATCTTTGATTTTATTTTGGAGAAGGAATTGGTCCTTCCGCATTTAGGTATCACACACATCCTAACAACGTGGAAATCTGTCCTGGTGTGACTTGAGAATGTTGCAAGGACCGGTCCCAGGACATGTGTCTCTCGTCAGACCAGAGAAAAGCTCACAGAGCTCTTGACGCGCAGGATGGAACTAGACTTCCTTCAGAAGTATTTCCTCAAACAGAAGCTGAATCTTGACATCTGACCAAAAAAAAAAGATGTTAGGCTCTGTACTTACTTGTCTGTGGCTTCGATTTTTATAGAAAAGTTCACATAAAATATTTTTACCGCTACAATCTGTCAGCACAGTGTCTGGTAAAAAGATTTGCAAACCTAGATTGATTCTTCCACAAAGTACCTTGTAGTTTACAAAATGTTGACATGTTTATTATCTTATTTTTCCTTTTAAGCAATATTGTGGGGCCAAGTTGTCAGTTTCACCACTGTTGTAAGTGATGGGACAGGATTTTAAAAAATATCTCTGCCCATATCCTCTCTGAAGAAAAGATAGACTAATATACTGACCGCAGTCATATTCCTGTTTAATAATCTCAGCACCATTTCACATCAGACCAAATGAGGACGCTGGTGGTACCAGGACTTCAGAGAGCTGTCTTTGGGTGAGGTTCTGATTGCCGGATTCTCTCACAATTTAAGGTTATGCTGGGGTCCGTGCAGTGGGTGTGGGTGGCACGGAGGTGTGAAGAGAACAGCTCCCCTGTGTGGCAAGGCCCCAGGGAGCTTCCAGCTGTTAGCCAAGGTCCGGCGGAAGTCTCTCTGACCACCTTGACACTGTTTCACCCCGTGATTGCACGGACATTCAAACACCCTGCTAAGAATTCTGTAATCTATTGAGCCATTGTTGTCTGCCCCTGTGAGACAGTTTTTGCAACCGATGTGAGCTTGAGACTTAATGTTGCTGATAATGTCTTGGTGAGTGGGCCTTTGGCAATTTACACACAGGAGCACAATTAAGCCCGTGCCATTTTTGGACACCTTATTGGGTACTTAACCATTGCCTCAGAATCTGGCCCAGACATGCGACACTCCTTCTGGGAAGGGGCTTGAAAATATCCTAAATATTAATGCAAGTGATGGGAGTGAGAGCTGAAACTGCTATGGCAATAAATATAGTTATTGTTATCTCAAAGGCTAGACTGTCTTTGCAACTTTTTTGGAGCATAGAAAATGTAATTGTTTTAGCTGCTTTTGTAATTTTAGCTAGAGGAATTAAGGATGCTTTTATTAAAAAAATGTTTTTGATTATTGTCATTGTTTATGGGGTTGTAGAGTCTATAGTTGTAGAGGGATTCTATATTTGAAATTTCTGTTTTAGATTTTAGGGTTTTTTCCTTGTAACCTATTTTCCCATTAAATAATGAGTGAATTGTAGAAATAGAGACGTGGTAGGAATGTACTACTGATTAGCAGGTCATCGCATGTGCCTTGGCCTTGGAGTCCTGGCTGTTGCTCCGTGGCTGCTGTTGAAGAATAAATAATAAGAATAAATAATAGCTTGCTTTGAAGAATATGAATACAGTATTTTGCAGAATTATCTCTAGGGGCACCTGCTTAGCCCTGAAGTGCAGACGGAGTGACCAAATGTCTGTACAGAATAATTAGTTGTTTGTGTAGAAGCTTGTGAGGTGTCTGAGGAAATAAAAAGGGCAGCTTTTTCTTGGGCTGAGTGAGAACGCACCAAGTGTCTGTGTCCGTGTCTTTATCGCCAATCCACGCTCCCTTCCCGAGCTCCGAACTCGGCTGGAGCTGGACTCCGGCAAGGCTAGGCGATGCCCTTTGAGGCACTAACTCTAGGAAGTATATTTTTGTTATATCTTGAGGTAATTTGCTCACCTCCGGTCAAGCTGTTACTAATGCAGTACAGCTATTTGTCGGTGGCCGGAGTTTGCTTAGTCTTCCTTACGTTGTTGAAGCTATTTGGAAGCGGCCTGTCTCTGCTCTGTCGGACTTGCGTCATCGGCGCGCCCAGCCGCACCTGAGACTCAGTTTCTGTGCCCTTTAAGGGGATCATCCTGAATTGCACAAAAAAATGTGTTTCATTCGAGGTTGATACGGTGATGAAAGCTCTCAGCCTGGCCTGAATGGTGCTCGGAGCCTCAGGCTCACTCCTGCTGCTTCCCCGCCTGCGAGCAGGGGATGTCGCTGGGACTCCGCCCTGCATGCTCTCGGCTGGCCGTTTGTGGGGCTGGTTTGTGAGGAGTAGTGCCAGCTGTAAGATCTCCCATTATCTTCTCTGGTTTTAGTAAATCTGCATTCTGTCTGGACTGTTACTTCATATGTTTTTGGTAGAATCATCTATTTTTAAAACTTTTTAAGTGCATCAACATGGAAAGGAAAATTTCAAATCCCCTCAGCTGATTCTCCTCGGTTTGTGCTCACGCTTCCCAGACTGTCTCTAAGCTGTGCCTTTCTGGTTGGCTTAGCTCATTCCGATCCAAATCTGCTCCATAAGTTGCAGTTTGATCCCTCACGATGCTCTTCGTCATCTGGAACAATCTGCTCTCACTTTGTCCACCTGTATCTTGGGTGACCTGAAGGTAATGGAGGGGTGATCCTGTCCCTGAACTGTGCCGACAGCCTAAGCTTCCTCTTAGAGCTAGACTTGATGCTTTTTTAACTTAGAAGCACTAACAGTCTTCACCTGATTGGTAATTATGGTTAAAAAAAAACAGCTTAAAATTTACCATCAGTGCAGTTCAGTAGTATTAAATACATTCACATTATTTTACAGACGCGCAAAACGTTTTCATCTCATGAAACTAAAAAGCACCAGCTTCTCCCCAAAAGCGCTGTCTTTTACCGCCTTGCTCCAAGCTGCCGCGCTGTGTCGGCAGTGGGTTCTGAAGTTTTCACTGTCGAGGCGTCAGCTGCTTCTGCTGCTGCTTGGTGATTTCTCCACACGCCTGGCTGGTCTGCGCTCACATTACAACGTGGCGGCTCCTCACTGAGGGCTCCGAGTGCGGGCACCTGGCTTCGTATGGAGCCTTCGCTAGGGAGACTGGAGAATTCTCTTTCTTACGATATTTTTCCCCCACAAATGGCCGTATGATGATGCTGACAGTCAGCAATGGCTGGACTGCACCGAACGGAAAGAGACACTGCCTCACCTTCTAGCAGCTAACTCCAGCTCCCTGCAGGAACGGACACCCCAGCTCTTACTCCGCTTGTAGCCTGCTGCCTTTCCCGCTGCTCCCAAGACGGTGTAAAGACCTACTTACTTCCCTGCTTTTGCTAATCAATCCCTAACATAGCTAACAGTTTGAAAAGCATGCTTCTAATCAGGCTAACTTCATTCAAATTTAGCAGCATTCATATTTCATTTTGTGGCAATACAGCTAATACATATTCCTCGGAGAGAAAAACCTAGAAAAATACATATTTGCTTTCTTTTCACGTTTGTATTGCACTGTGAACATATTTTAAGAAATAATAGATCTGAAGTCTGATTTGGAAAAAGAGCCACAGATGAGGTGGTTGGTTAGAATCCCAGTTATGACCTAATTTTACAGTTTCCTGACCAAATCATATGAAGCATATTAGAGAAAGCTTTGGAAAGCACGGCAGGTAGGTAAGTTTCCTAGTAGGCCCAGTACTCATCTAGTTCCGGTTCAGGGATATAGTTAGATTGACCGGCAGGAACATCTGCAAAGAAGGGAGGGTGTGGATTCTGAACCCCATCTTAAGGAGCGATTAAACCTTGCTTTCCTAATAATGGGGATAACCCTACCTCCTGCTCCTGTTGGAAGGCCTAAAGTTCATTTTGAAAAAGAGCCCAAGTGTGCCCGACACTCAGCAAACAGTAGCTGATCTTAATGAAATATTTGTGATTTGGGTTTTTGTTGTTTAAAGTGCCGTCAGCCGCAATGACTTATGAAGTCGGATACCAGTTAGATATCAAAATTCAACCACATATTTTCACATTCTTTCTACAAATAATTTTTCTGTGTGTAATATTTAAAACACCATTACAGATTGAAACTTCTACGTTCCCCATGTGTTTTGTTTTTCCTTTTTGTCTTTTTTCCCCGTGTGTTTTGTAATAAAACTTTTATTAACTAATTGCATGAGTGTGTGGTTAGCAGAGCGCTATACTCACAGCTGTCCTTTCTTAGACTTCCTCAGGTGATATTATTAGATGAGATGTTGGAGAACACTGCCGTGGCTCTGGAAGGTTCTATGGAGTGGGTTTCTGGAGGGGCTGTGTCATCCAAGCCCCAGCCAAGGGGCCGGGGCTGCCCAACGGGTGGCCGACTGCCCTCCCTGCCAGCCAGCCCCGGGAAGGGATCCGAGCACCCAGGTTTCCTGGGGTTGCCTGCGACCAGGACAGCTGGCGCTGGGTTCACCCCCCCTATGCTAACCTTTAAACTACCGTCGCCCAGGAATCTCTAAGAATCCCAGGGTAATTGTTTTTGTCTTGCTAGTTGGTCTTAATTCGTGTAAAGTACTTCTGAGGCATCTGAGAAACGTTACCACCTAGCATGTGGGTGGCAAAGTAGTTCGTAAAAACAGTTCAGGTGTGCAAAAAGTTCTGTGCAATTCCACCCTCCAAAAGCACTCACTTTGTGAGACCTACAGCCTTCCCACACCGGGAGTCGAACCCGGGCCGCCTGGGTGAAAACCAGGAATCCTAACCGCTAGACCATGTGGGAAGCACACCGCTGGTTGTGAACTACTCTCTACCACACCTACGTTAGGGCATGAATAAGTGAACCCATTTCTGTGTTAATATGAAGAGAGGGACTGAGTTTCCGTAAGGGCCTCAAAGTGAGATAACAGGCGAGGAGACTCGGCAGAGTCGCAGGGAAGACGCACGAACGCCGCAAGTGGGAAGAGCGAGCGAGCGGCCGGGCTGGGTGCGTCCTGGTGGCGCGCAGGGTTTGTGTCGGCAGGGCTGGGGCGCAGGGTGGGACCCCGGGAG